TTTGAATTCAGCCCTCTGTATGTTGATGATTTTCATTTCCATCGAACGATGGGGCATCCTTACGTTTCTAACACATTACCCAGTTCATATCAGTATAGATATCCAGCATCATATTTCCCCAGTGAGATCTGATGTGTTTTCAAAGTGTTCCTTTAATTTTTTTGACCAGTGAATTTTAGACCCCTCTCCAGCACACGAAGAGACATGGCTGGAAGCCCAAAAGGTGCTCAAACAATTGCATGTTACAGCAGTGGAGCGGAAAAGATTTTTTTAGAAAAATTTATTATGAGGAGGGCGAGCAGACAGGACTTCTTTTAGCCAGAATTGTTAATGCACAAGGAGGAATATCTCCCATCTCTTCTTTATGCACACCCAATGGCAAGCTGACCAACTGCCCTGATTTGATAATGACCAAACTAGTGCGTTTCAATGCAGAACTAGACCAGGCTAAGGCACAACCCTCTCCGCCTGACTTCCTGAACTTCCCAGATCAGATAGCTCGCCCAAAACTTTCCATTGCACATAAATGCTCTCTTGACTCCCCTATCAAGGTGGGGAAGATAACTGCCATCTCCTCCTTTCCAAATTGTAAGGTGTTGGGGGACGTTGGGACACCCATTGAGGTTTACAAAATGTATACAGATACTTTAGCCCCACAGTTATTGAAGGTATATCAGACTGCTCTAGAAAAGGGCTGTCTACCTGAGTAGAGCAAACATTGTGCTAATCCTAAAAGCTTGTAAATCTCCCATAGACCCCAGCTTATACAGACCTATTTTTCTATTGGTAGTAGATTTTAGCCAAAATACTCTCTCTATTATACCCCTCCTCCATTGCTTCAAGGCTAAATTAAGATTTGAAATAGGCTCTGGCTCTCCTTGATAGGTAGGGCCAGCCTTATCAAAATGATTGGCATGCTACAATTACTTTACTTTCTCCACAACTCCCCTGTAGTGATCCCCTTGTATATTTTTTAAACTGGTTAACTATCTTCAGCACTCTACTTTGGAAAGATAAATCTCCTAGAGTGAAGCTTGAGCCACGTCAGCAGCCTAAATATAGAAGTAGAGTAGCTCTGCCCAACACGTGGTTATACTATCTGGCTGCTGAAATTGCAACACTTCATTGGGTCTTTACGTCAGGGGAGGGAAAACTTTAGACATCCCTGGTGCACCAGACTCATCTTTTCAGTCCTCAAAGCGTTTCCCACTTACTCACTAATCCAGGTCTTGCACAGGGTGAGAGCCCTTCAGGGTGTAGTGGGATTTACCGAATATAGTCCCATTTGGCACAATCCCACTTAGGGGGAACTGGAATATCTTCAGTGTGCAGTGATGTGGAAGCGCTGGGGAATTACTCATCTGAGGCATATTTTCAGCAATGGATATCTCCTTTTGCTGATCTACAAGCTCCATTCCGCCTCCCTTCCACACTGCAGTTCTCCTATTTTCAGGTTCACCATGTGATCCTAGCCTAGGGCCCTATGAACAACTGGTCCTTATTACCCACACCCATCTTTCGCTTTCTTCAATCTGTGAACGAAACAAAGGGCTTCATCTCCAGATGCTATGACATGCTACCTTTCCCATACCTACAAGATCACCCTTGCAAAGCTAAAGAACAATGGGAGTAGGATGTAGTCCCACTGGATGAGGAGCTGTAGGATAATGCATTGGAATCCATTTTACTGAACTCACCACCAGTCAAAGGCTCTCGCAGCTATACATAATACTTTGTGCCCACTATAACCCCATCAAGCTCCACCGCATGGGTCTCCTGCAGTCACCCATTTGTACTAGGTGTGTCACTGCGTATGGTGATCTTATTCACCTTCTGTGGCACTGTTCTAAGCTCCACTGGTGCTGGGCAGATATTGTTGCCACCATCAATGCGTTCTTCCACATTACTGGCCCTATTGAACCTTCCTACTGTAATTTAGGTATACTAGATGATCCCCCAGTAACGGACTTCCAAAAGGCCGCAGTTAATAGGGCAGTTTCAAAAGATTATCCTCCAACATTGGAAGTCTGATAAAGCTCCCACTCAGAGAAGAATCACAAAAGATGGGTGATCCTCCAAAATAATTTTTTTTTAGCCAAGGCTGCCCAAGAAAATTTAACAAATAAGGGTGGTTAGCTGTTCCAAGCTTGCATTTACTGATTTTGATGGAAAGTATTTAAATTCACAGATATTACTCTTTTTTTTGTGATGTATTAAAAAAAAAAAATGGTTGTACTCAAATGGAGGCACCTCAAAGAAAGTAATGACATGGTGTAGATGGCGTGTTGTGGTGAATGGCAGGAATGGCCAAATTGTGCTAAGAGTGGGAGGGACTTAAACGGGCATGATTAACCACTTCAATACCGGGCACTTTTACCCCCTTCCTGCCCAGGCCATTTTTCAGGTTTCAGCGCTCTCACACACTTTGAATGACAATTGCGCGGTCATACAACATTGTACCCAAAATAAAAATTTTGTCGTTTTCTTCACACAGCTAGAGCTTTCTTTTGGTGGTATTTAATCACCGCTGGAGTTTTTATTTTTTGCTAAATTAACAAAAAAAGACTGAAAAAAATGAAAAAAAACAAACACGTTTTTCTTTGTTTCTGTTATAAAAGTTTGCAAATAAATAATTGTTCTTCATAAATTTAGGCCAAGATGTATTCTGCTACATGTCTTTGGTGAAAATAACCCAAATTAGGATGTATTTTTAAGTTTGTAGGAAAGTTATAGAGTTCACAAACTATGGTATAGATCTGAATATTGATCAATCCTGAAGTACTGACAGCCAATCTAATTTCTTGAGGTCTAAGAATGTCAAAACAGTACAGATATCCCCCAAATGACCCCTTTTTGCAGAGTAGACAGTCCAACGTACTTCATAAGAGGCATGGCGAGTTTTTTGAAGTTGTATTTTTTTTGTCATCATAATTTTTCGGAAAATGATAAAATTAAACAAATTTTTTCACTATTTTTTTTTTTTTACATACTGTCAGCAGTGCAGTACAGCGTCATCATATAACTGGCATGGCGGTGATCAGGGACACTGACTGGTGACAGTATGAAAAAAAAAAAAAATATATATATATATTTTTTTTTATTTTTAATTTATTACTTTTTTTTAAGATTTTTTTTTCATATTTCACTATGTCCAAAGTAGTACAATGTTACCATAGTAACATTGTACTACTTTGGGGGTGATCAGTATTTTTTTTTTTTTTTTTTTTTCTTTTTACACAATTTGCTTATAGCAAAGAATTACTTTGCTATAAGCAAGCATTTACCTGAATGACATCGATTCATTCAGGGCTTTTTTTTTTTTTTTTTTTGTGCTTAGCTGTGATTTGGCCACAGCTAATCACATTGACATGTGCATGTGATTAGCTGTGACCATTTACAGCTAGACACTAGTATACAATGAATGGCATGAATGAAGCCATCCATTGTATACAACTGTCATGTGACCTGCTGTGATTGGTCACAGCAGGTCACATGGTACTGGCAACGGGGTCGGCACTCAGATTTGTCATCGGCCGTGTCCGAGGTACACGGCCAGTGACAGATCGTGCCACTGCGCGGCTCTGCAAGCGCGAAAACTGCGCATGCCGGGAGGACGCCATATGCCGTCCACCCAGAGATCTACAGCATTTTGCCAGCCGCCAAACGGCCGGGTATTGGTTAAATAAAACAGTCTAGAGTTTAGTAAAGTTCAGAACAATCATTTTTAGCCGTCGTTCATTTAGACATACTTCCCATCTTCTTGCCCATCATTTTTGGGGAGACATCTGCTATGGCTATCCTATAGATTTCATTCTAATGTATTCAGGATACACCACCCAATTTACACAAATATACTTTGCAATAATGTACTAGCACTAGTAAAATAAAGAGTAAAAAGTCATCAAATAAGTGTTCAATGAAGAAATTGTTTAGTTTTCTTACTAATCTGTTATACATGTTTAAGATTTTTTGGGGGTAAACGTAATGTCCTATTTCCGCTGTTGTAATAATTTCTGAAGGAAAAAAAAAAAAAAAAAAAACCATACAAGGCCAAAATGTTTAATCAAATTTCTTATCCTTTTGTTATAAACTTGTTTATTCTTCATAAAGAGTTCATTAGAAGAAAATTTACATGTTCAATTGGTTATAAAGCAAAAATAGGTTTAGTTGTGCAAATCAGATTTCATAGTTAAAAGCCACAATACCTAAAAATGCATTTACATTAAGAAATTAAACCTTTTTTTTTATTATTTTACAAAAACCATATACATATATTTAAAATTAGGTCCCAGATCTTTAAAGAATTATTTTTCTGTCAATATGCAACAAAGAACACAAGAAGCTTTTTATTACAAATACATCTATAAATTAAATAAGACATACATTAATAAAATGAATGATCATTTTGCAGCAAGTAAAGAATTACAAGGTAATTTCATCCATAGTGAAGCTGCATAAAGTAAACACATGTAGATGTCTGAAATTCAATTTTTAATATGTTAAGGGCTCCACAATGTTGGATTACATATTTCAAATGTACTTATACTTGAAGAAAGCATAGTGTCAAGGAAAGACATCATGTTACCTTGGACAAGTTAAGTATTAGTAAAGTTAGGTAATCATCAAAATGTTTTTCTACAGAGTGCAGCTTTTAGTGCCTGCCTGATGGACCAAATATGAAAACATTGTTATGAACACAAATTTACCAGCATCCAGTAGATTTCTACTGCCAGGAGAAAATATGTCTAGAGAGGGTGTCCAGTGAGCATGAACCCTAGTACCAAAGTACACCATTTGGGTTGTAGAAGGATATTGAACTCCATGAGAAAACCCATGTAGGCACAAGAAAAGCATACCAACTCCATGTAGATGATGTTCTTGGTGGCTAGCTGACCCTAACATTGCAATTATTAGTATCAGAGGGGAAAAAAAAAAGGACAGTTTTGATTATTGTTTTTGTGTTTCCAGGATAGGTAGCTTAACAGTCAGGTGGTAACAACCTAAATTCCAGGATATTCAAACACAGCAGCTGCTCCCATTCCAGTACCAATGCACATTGACACAACACCCAGGCTTCTGCAAAATAAAAAGCATATGTTGTAATCATGTCATTTTGACTCATCCACCTCACCAACCGCTCCACCTCTGCCTCCCCCCTCTGCCAATCCCTTCATTGGCTCCCGATTGCCCAACGCATTAAATTCAAACTGCTAACTCTGACCTACAAAGCCATTCACAACGCCGCCCCAAACTACATAACCGACCTGATACCCAAATACTACCCTACCCGTGCCCTCCGCTCCTCACAGGACCTCCTGCTCTCTAGCTCCCTGGTCTCCTCCTCCCCCACGCCTGATTGCAGGACTTCTCTAGGACTTCCCCCATCCCCTGGAACGCCCTACCCCAATCCATCAGACTGTCACCTACCCTCCTCACCTTCAGGCGCACCCTGAAAACCCTCCTCTATAGGGAAGCCTACCCCAACCTCACCTAACACCCCCGACCTCACCTAACAACTAACCTCCTCCACTCCTCCCACCACTCCATCCCCCACAGCCCCACAGCCATTCCTCCTGTACCACCTTCCCCTCCCTCCTAGATTGTAAGCTCGAAAGAGCAGGGCCCTCGAACCCCCCGTGTATTGTATTGTTTCTGTCTTGTCTCATGTTCTGTCCCCCTTGCTACTGTACAGCGCTGAGCATACCCTTTGGCGCTATATAAATACTGTTTAATAATAATAATAATAATAATAAAAGAACATGCATAGACAGCAAGATAACCAATTAAAGGGTTGGTCCTTACAAACAACTGGTAAGAATGGGTGCTGCAAAGCGAACACAGACACTGGGTTCTTAAAAGCCAATAGGCACAAAGGATGCAACTTCACTGTGTGCATCAAATTCCTTTACAAACACAGATGCTTCTCAGTAAAAATAGTTGTTATAACACCACTGTGCTGCCAAGCTGCAGGAGGGACCTAGCAGGCACACTCACTACAGGCGTTCTTCAGAAACTACAGAGAGAGAGCTGAAATTACCAGTCGTGATGACTGGAAGCTCCTGAACAGTGAATGTTTTACAGATCTGAAAGAAATACACGAAGGGCACCAATATACTTATCCCGGAGTTCAGCTGTCAATTTCTGGGGTAACTCCTTAAAGTGGCTGTAAACTCTAATTTTTTATTTTTTACAGGTAAGCTACAAAAATAAAATCTCCTAAATGCGCACAGTTTAGGAGATATTCTAGTGAGCAGCAGCCGGTGACTTCATCCGCGCATGCGCTCTGAAGGAATGACAGAGACTCCCGCACGCATTTTTATCCATTTTAAGCTCGTGGTTTCATTATTATGGCACCTGTTTGAGGATCATTTTAGAGTGATGCACACTATCTGTAAAATTTTCTAAATTATTTGATTTTATGCGTATGATGTCATGTTTATTATGCTGCTTATATTAGAATCATTATTAGAGTGATGCACATTATTTATTATTCCACACACTCTATTATGGTTGGTCTAAAGGGTTAGAACACATTTATTTATTTTTGCAGCACTTGGAGTGCAGGGAACAATTACACACATTTTATTTATTTTTTTGTTGATTTTGCACTATACCACTCATATATATTGCCTTTACTGTAATCTGTGGGATGTGACAAAGTCAGGTGTTAGCAGCAACTTCCATTAACCTATTCAGTAGGGGTGGAAGCACACAAGTTATTTTTATTCATTTATTATATGGCGTATAGAATGGGTGGGAGAGTGAGGCGATAGGGTAGGCGTTCTGGAAGAAGTACATAGTAACCCAAGTGTAGACCATTCTAAAAGGACTCTTCATTGCAAAAGGATAGGAGGAAGCACCTGAGTACCCTTTACGGGCTCTAGGCAGAGACGTGCATCAAATTATACAATCAGTGGTGTGATGTAACACTTGGCCATCCACCTGAGATTGAGCTTTCAGTGGATTAATTTTAGTGCCAAAATTGAAAAATGTACATTTATGTACATTCCAAACATAGCCCCATTTTAATCCATGCTTCTCAAGCCTTAGCCATCATGGTGGGCATCCCCCCCCCTGAAGGGGTCTTCAGGGACTGGACTCAATAACAATGGACCATGGCTCTGGACTTGTATAGCACTTGCAGCTGACGCAACATATTGCAGCAGGGTATTTGAACACAGTGAGGGGTTGATGGAGGAGTTGTAAGACAAAAAAAAAAAAAAGTTAAACTAGTGAACCTGATTTCTCTGTTATGGAGAAGAGGCCTCTTACTTCAGACATCAGCAAAAACAGAGGACTCACAGGGGAAGCGCCCCAGGTTGGGGGGGCTCAAAAAGCTTGCCAGTTTCCAATCACGTGAAGGTGTGTGCCTAGATCTATGGTGTATGAATATATAACAACTTTACATACACTTTGGGGTTGTTTTACTAAAGGCAAATAGACTAGGCACTTGCAAGGGCATTTGCTCCTGAGTTTAAAAATAAGGTGAAGCTTCACTTTGTAATAAATACCCAATCGCAGACAAGCAAATTAAAAAACTGCATTTTTTTCTTGCATATTATTGTACAGATGGATGTCAGCAGAGATTTCCCTAATTTACTAAGCTCTGGAGCAAATGCCCTTGCAGACTGCAACTGTACAATCTACACTCCACCGAAACCGCCTTACTCAAACTCTCCAACGACCTGCTAACCGCCAAAGCTAATGGCCACTATTCAGTGCTCCTACTCCTTGACCTCTCTGCGGCCTTCGACACAGTCGACCACCCCCTCCTCCTCAAAAAAAACTACACTCCCTCCGCCTCAGAGATTCTGCTCTCTCCTGGCTATCATCCTACCTGTCACAACGCTCTTTCAGCATTACCTATAATGCTACCACCTCCCCCTCACTCCCCCTCTCTGTTGGGGGTCCCTCAAGGCTCTGTCCTCGGGCCCCTTCTCTTCTCCATCTACACCTCCTCCCTTGGCCAACTCATACACTCTCAAGGCTTCAACTACCACCTATATGCTGACGACACACAAATCTATCTCTCAACCCCCCACCACTCACACCCTCAGTCTCCGCCCGAATCACACACCTGCTGAGCGACATATCAGACTGGATGTCGCTCCACTTCCTTAAACTGAACCTCTCCAAAACCGAGTTTCTTGTCTTCCCCCCAGGATGAACCACCCCCCATTGACTTCTTTGTCACATCCAACAACGCCACCATCAAACCCGCCCCGCAGGCCAGAGTACTTGGTGTCATTCTTGACTCCAACCTATCCTTCCAGCCCCAAGTCCAATCTTTAACAAACTTGTGCAGACTCCACCTCCGCAACATCGCCAAAATACGCACGTTCCTAACCCCAGAAACCACTAAACAGCTCATCCACTCCCTCATCATATCACGACTCGACTACTGCAACTCCCTCCTCACTGGCCTACCTCGCCGCTGGGTAATATCCCAGCTTCAGTCGATCGATCCTGAATACGGCTGCCAGACTCATTCACCTTTCCAACAGCTCCGTCTCCGCCACCCCCCTCTGCCAATCCCTCCACTGGCTTCCGATTGCGCAACGGATCAAATTCAAAATCCTAACGCTGACGTACAAAGCTGTCCACCATACTGCCCCGAACTACATCACTGACCTAATATCCAAGTACCACCCAGCACGCACACCGCTCCTCACAAGACCTCCTTCTCTCTAGTTCCCTGGTCTCCTCCTCTCATGCCCGCCTCTCAGGACTTCTCCAGGGTGTCACCCATCCTCTGGAACTCCCTGCCCCAACCCATCAGATTATCACCTACTCTCCTCTCCTTTAGGCTCACCCTGAAAACCCATCTCTTCAGGGAAGCCTACCCCACCCCCTGCTAACTTGTCGACCTCCTCCACTCTTCCTACCACTCCATCCCCCACAGCTATCTCCTCCTGTGCCACCATTCCCTCTCTCCTAGATTGTAAGCTCGAAAGAGCAGGGCCCTCAATCCCCTCATGTTTTGCATTGTATTGGTATTGTTCTGTCACATGTTCTGTCCCCCTTTGTAATGTACAGCGCTGAGCGAACTATTGGCGCTTTATAAATACTGTATAATAATAATAATAATAATTAATTTTGCCTTTAGTAAATCAAACCTCTCCGCATATGTAGGTTAGGATTCAGAGAAGCTGTACCACCTCCAGGGCTAATACCTTGAAATGTACACACTGAAGGAACAACTAAATTCAATTAGCTACTGTAAGAATGAATAACCATATTCTGAGATTGAAAACAAAAAATGAGACAATGCATAGGTCTACAGTATCTTCCTCCTACAGATATGAAGCTTAAAAAAGGAGAATTCCTGTTACTAGGATAGTCAGCATTATTAGTGTAAATTCATACCCTTGTAAAATTGTTGCATTAACTGAGCAGAGCCAAGTACTCAGGTGCAGACAACTTGTCTCCAAACACCCAAGATGTACAAAAAAAAGAACAAAAAACAAAAAAAAAACAGTGGGCAATTCAACTCCACAGTACCTACCAAAAGCTGAGTATTCAGTTGTGCACAGAAACCCAGACTAGAAAATTTCTTACCTTTTCCCCCTTCTCTTGAGCTCATTCAGTAAAGTGACTGTCTGTCGAGCTCCAGTGCAGCCCAGAGGATGCCCAAGGGCTATGGCTCCTCCATTGGGGTTAACTTTCTCCAAGGGAATGCCCAGTTTCTCCACACAGTATACCGCCTGCATACGCCAAAGAAAATAGTGTTTTAAAGGAAAACTACCATTACTACATTGCAGTCTCTGTGTGTAATGGAATGGTAAATACAAATGCTAACTATAGCAAGAGCATACAGTCCTACATCACATCAGTCATAAATATGAAGAAGCCATGGAAAGCAGCACAAGCACAGCCCTGTCACATCCCACAATGCAATGCGTCTCAGTCAATTGGCAGGACTGCACTGTGGAATGTAGAGTAGAAATTGTCCTTGGCAAGTAGCTTGAAAATTAAACTTGCTAAAGGCTGGTACACATGGGTCGAATATTGGCTGCTTCAACAGAAACTGGCCAACATTCGGTCCGTGTGTACAGTAGCCTGTCCGACAGAAGCCGATCTAATGAGTGGCTTTTATTGAATGGACACGCTGGAAAGAAAAAAAAAAAGCATTCGATCAGTGCTTGCAACCAATGGCTGTGAGCGGTGATCAGTGTGTTCTGGCAGGCAGGCAGTCTCCCTGTCAGAACACAATAGCTCAGCGGGGTAGATCATCGCACTAACATCACTTTGGTTGTACAGCAACCTCTCACTTTATGTCCAGTCCGCTGGCTTGAAAGGAGAAAAAAAAAAAACTCCCCGTATGTACCAGGCATTCCACATAAGGTTACATAATGCAAGATTTGTAAGTACTGGTTTCCTTTAGGTGTATCTATAGCCTACTTTTACTAGGCAAGTCCCAACCTGTATATGACTATAGCAACACCTATGACTTTAGCAACAGCTAAAAAAAAAATAAAAAACACTTGTGCTGGTAATTCTGAACAGACTTTATTTCAATAAATGAATACAATACTATTAAAGACTTTCAAATTTCCAGTAGAACAATCTTAAAACTCAGAGTGTCTTGCCTGCATTGTGGTAGCTGCTCCTCTGACAATGCAGACAAGTCATGGTCCTGCAGCTGACAAATGTCAGCTTGAGAACGGGGAGTCTTTGGGCATGGAATTTTTTTAACAAGCTATTATACTGTAGCTATTGCCTGTGGGGGAGTCAGGTGCTGCGGGGGCTATTGTTTGGTAAAGCCTGTGCGCAGAAAAAAATATGGTAGCTATTGTGACTGTATTGACAGCTGGCGACCGACTGAGCTATTCTTGCTTTGCTCCTAATGCTGGAAGAAATAGCCTAGCCTATTTCACAGAAAACCAACTGTTAACACAGTCACAATATCAGCTATGTTCTCATGGAGTGCCAGCTTTACCCAATAATAGCTGTGGTACATTCAACACCACCTCTCCACCTCTCTGGCTCTCAAATTACCTGGTTACCAGAGAGTTTTTTTCAGTCACCTTGGTGACTGGAAATTGTACAGCTTTGATTTAGGGTCAAGGCCAAATCTGCCACTTACCCATCAATCCAAATGTCAGGGACATCCCAGTAATGCAGCTGCCTGGACACAGCAGTTAAATAATGTGATTATGAGGCCACATATCCTGGAGAATCATATCACTTTGTTGGATGACCATTGAGTCATGAAGACTCCTATCATATAACTTCTCACTGTCACACTATAGCTCTATACCATATATTAACGCCTTTCTGCTGTTCATCAGCCTCTAGTAGACTGGCAGAATGCAGAAACCTCACTTCACTTAAATGCATGCTGGCCTTTCTAAAATATGGATGACAAATACACTATATCTATGCCTGTGAATGGAATACAGTGACAGAAGTCTGGAAAGCAGACTATGCACATGCCTGGCTTACTGGGGGCTCCTCTCCTCCTCCTGGGGCCAGCGATGGAACCTTTGCATGGTGCTCCTGGGTGGCACTGTACAGAACAGCATCAGTCCAGTCTTTGTTATCTAGAACACTGTACTATACCAGTTCCCACTTATTACCTCACTGGTCTTAGTCCTATGCTACATAGAGGTTCAACTTCCAGTGACCAGACAAGTTCTGGCTCAGTGCTGCCTAGTCTCATTGTGGTAAAATGGATAAAAAGAAAAAATGCAGTGCTGGGTCCACTTAACAATAGCCGCAACATTTCAGTACCGGCCTCCCCATTGGCAATAGCTCTCAATGACCCAGTTGCTAGAGTGGTTGTTTTTCCATTGTTATTGACCTGGCAAATTAAAAATGACCAGTCCTAGATTACAAGACCCTTTACACAAGATAAACTGATTATTCGCAGCCTCTCAATTTACAGACTAACAGTTGATAAACAATATATATGGAGGGCCATTTTAAAAACATTATAAAGCAAGCTTAAAAATGGACACCATATCAGGGATTTTGCATGTTTTCCTAAACTCTGTTTTTCTAAAGTTCTTAGTTTGTATAATGCAGATCTCTGGCTTTTTTTTTTTTTGTTAAAAGTTTTCAAATATCAACATGCCAGATTGTTGAGAGATGCAGCACTAGTTTTCAGACTTTAGCAGTTTTATCTATATATTGGGGTGTATTTCCTAAAGGCAAATAACCTGTGCACTTTCCAAGTGCAGTTGCACTCATTTTCCCCCAGAGCTTAGTAAATGTGGTAAAGCTTCACTTTGTAAAGAATATCCAATCAAGTGCAAGAAAAAAAAAAACCCAAAAAAAAACAAAAAACACATTTTTCTTTGTACATGATTGGATAGTGGAAATCAGCAGACCTTCACCACATTCCCTAAGCTCTGGGAAAAATGAGTGCAATTGCACTTTAAAAGTGCACAGTCTATTTGCCTTCAATAACTCCACCCTATTGAAGAGTGCAATAAATTATATTTGCTCCATTCTGTAAAAATACTTATTGCTAACCAGGTTGAGCCGTCTTTGGGCACCTGAAGTATTTGCTGAAATAGCTAATCAGAGATTAGAACTCACCTGACTGGCAAATGCTTCATTAATTTCATACACATCAATATCATGAATTGTCAGACCTGTAGGCATAAACAAGCTTTAAAATAGTTATAATATTTATATTGTCACAGTTTAATTTAAATAGTCTGCAGTTAAAATATTAAACAAACCAGTTAATACCTACCTGCTTTCTCTAAAGCCACAGGTATAGCATAGGCTGGTCCTATCCCCATAATATCAGGAGGGACCCCCACTACAGCAAAGGACTTTAGCACTCCCATGATAGGAAGACCCAGATGCATGGCTGTTGATCGTTTAGCTAGCAAAACTGCTGCAGCTCCATCGCTAACTTGACTGGCATTGCCTATACGCATAGGACAAAAAAAAAAAAAAGTTTAATTTACACAGGTTTTAATTTTTAATTTTTTTAACTCCAGTGAGAAACCACCAAAAACAGCTGACATTTGCTTACAGAAGAAATAAAAAACAAATTATAAATTTAAAGTCATGTAGCAGATTGGCAGCAGCATGAAATAGAGCTGGCCTCTTTCAAGAAGGCATCTGTAGGAAATTCACGATATGATGCTCAAAATTAACCAGGCACTGTACAGTATGGAAGAATGAGTCCAACCAATTACTCTGTGGCAGCTTAGATAGTAGGAGACAACCTTTCCCCTTGTCCGTTTTAGCAAGAAAGCTGGAGCATAAACAGAGAAAGGTTCAAACCCCCTTTTGATCCCCAAAGCATCTACTGTGCAGCAGCCATTGTTGACAGCTGCCAGACACCTGAAGCTCTGTAGCCATTCCTGCCAGACCCCAGAGATAAACGTTTCAAAAAGATTGAGCTAGTTCAGATCGAGGTAGACCTCCTTAGCACCTCCTTGGCTTCAGCCACATCATGCAACAGAAAAAAGGGACTTCTCCTTACTTTGAACTGCCTGGTCTGGTGAATGGGTTTAGGAAGGGGGGATAACTTTCTGTTGGACATGGTGTACGGACCTGTGCATTATGCTTTCCTGACCCCTGCACTCTGGGTTACATACCCCTGAACTCCTATGCTCTATATACACATGTAGTATTTCATACTCCTGACCACTGCCCTCTGTACGTTGGGCTGTACAGGACATACTCCTGACCACTGCACTCTGTACGTTGGGCTGTACAGGACATACTCCTCACCACTGCACTCTGTACGTTGGGCTGTACAGGACATACTCCTCACCACTGCACTCTGTACGTTGGGCTGTACAGGACATACTCCTCACCACTGCACTCTGTACGTTGGGCTGTACAGGACATACTCCTCACCACTGCACTCTGTACGTTGGGCTGTACAGGACATACTCCTGACCACTGCACTCTGCACGTTGGGCTGTACAGGACATACTCCTGACCACTGCACTCTGTACGTTGGGCTGTACAGGACATACTCCTGACCACTGCACTCTGTACGTTGAGCTGTACAGGACATACTCCTGACCACTGCATCTGTACGTTGGGCTGTACAGGACATACTCCTCACCACTGCACTCTGTACGTTGGGCTGTACAGGACATACTCCTGACCACTGCACTCTGTACATTGGGCTGTACAGGACATACTCCTGACCACTGCACATTGGGCTGTACAGGACATACTCCTGACCACTGCACATTGGGCTGTACAGGACATACTCCTGACCACAGCACTCAGAGTGTAATGATCAGGAGTATATCCTATACAGCCCAACATACTAAGTACATTATATACTCTTTATCACTGCATTATATATAATGTGCAACAGTTGTTGGTTGTGAAGTATTCACTGATTATATTGATAAAGTTTGTTAGAGTTAGACTCTTGCTTGCGGCACAGTAATTTTTGGGTACAATGACTACGATATGTTACCTTGTAGCCACCCCCTCTCCTTTTAGCAGAATTTTGCCACATTCATAATTTACTGTGGTGCACTGCCTAATTCTTCTCTACATGCCCAAGGCTGCCCCCCTGGCCAACTATTCATTTTAGCATGCAAGCTATTGTCCATTCTATGCCAGTGGTGGGGAGTGCTGCCTTGCATTGTGACAACACAATACAGGTTTACCTTTTTTTCAGTTTGATTGAAATGTGACATTTCATTTGTTTATCTGATGAAGATAACTGCAGTGGCCAGTAGGAACGTCAGGTGAGCGTCCATGCAGTGCGGAAAAATGCAGAATGTGTTAATTTTTTTCACAACACACTGCAACCCATCTAAAGGCATCATTGTTGTTGTGTGACAGAGCATGTTTTCTATGTGCCCTTGTGGGGACTGCATAGCGTGAACAGGCCTTTAATGTGCAAGCCCCCTATTTAATCCAGTCAAGTATTAATTTATAAATATATATGTAGACTTTAATAGTACCTGAATTTTTACACTAGCTGCCTATATTTCTCTGCAGATCCCTTTAACAATTATACAGCCAGCTTTTAGTGCACTGTGTTATGTGTCTAACAAATGTAGCTTAGGGACTGAAAAACAGAGCAGAGAGATAATGTCATCAGCATGCTGCTGCTCCTTCACTATCCAGTCATAGTCTTGACCAATCATGGAAAAAAAAAAAATACCCAGAAGTTAGCTATAGTGTTTGTCTGGTGTGTGTGGATTCGAAAACTGAATGGCACTTTTATTTTCACCTTTAAGACTGTTTACCCATAATGCATTTCAATTGCCATTCAGCTTCTCTCCACATCAAGAACAATCGCTTATTCTGAATATTTTGTAGCTTGCCAGTCCCTAGATGTGGCACCTTAATTGATTATCTTTATTATCTATATCTGTGGGAGGAGCATTGTTGTCATTCTAGGACAGAATTGTTTTAGGACTACAGAATATCTACCTTTTTTCTCTTCTCCAGAAGGTGTTTTATAGCCCTAACACCCTTCCTCATTACATTGTTTAACCACTTGCCCTCCTGAGGATTTACCCCCCTTAAGACCAGGCCTCTTTTTGGTACTCGGTGCACTGCACTAATTCAACTGATAATTGCGCGGTCATGCAATGCTGCACCCAAACAAAATTTACGTCCTTTTTCTTCACGCAAATAGAGATTTCTTTTGGTGGTATTTGATCATCTGTGCGCTTTCTATTTTTCACGCTATAAACAAAAAAAGACCCAAAATTTTGAAGAAAAACAATATTTTTTACTTTCAGCTATAAAAAATATATAGTAAACTCAAAGTTAGTTATAAATTTAGGCCAAATGTATTCTGCTACATGTTTTTGATAAAAAAAAAATCCCAATAAGTGTATATTGATTGCTTTGTGTGAAAGTTTTAGCGTCTACAAACTATGGTATAGATAATGGAATTTACACAGCTTTTACTTTCTGACTGTCCATCACATTTCTTGAGGTGCTAAAATACCAGGACAGTACAAACACCCCAAATGACCCCTTTTCGGAAAGTAGACACCCTAAGCTATCTGCTGAGAGGCATATTGAGTCCATGGAAGATTTATTTTTTTACCCACAGGTTTCTGGAAAAATGACAAAAACATTTTTTTTTTTTTTTTTTTTTTTTTTTTTTTTTTACACAAATTGTCATTTAAATGATTTATTTCTCGCACAAGCCATGGGTATATGTGGAATTACACCCCCAAAATACATTCTGCTACTACTTCTACCGAGCATGGAGATACCACACGTGTGTGAGACTTTTTGGGAGCCTAGCCACATACAGGAGCCTGAAATCCAATGACCACTTTGAAAGCCTGAAGGTGCGTAACTTCCTCACTACCTATCACAGTTTTGAAGGCCCTGACATGCCAGGATAGCACCAAACCCCCCCAAATGACCCCTTTCTGGAAAGTAGACACCCCAAGAAATTTAAAAAGAGGCATGGTTAGTAATTTGCAGATGTCATTTTTTTTCTCAAAAGGTTTTGAAATATAAAAAAAATAGAAAAAATATGTTTTTGTTTTTTTTCTTCATTTTCCAAAAACTTGTGGCAACAAATGAGATCTGCAAAAAACTTACCGTGCTTTTTTTATCAAATTCCTTGGGGTGTCTACTTTTCAAAAAAAGGGGTCATTTGGGGGGGTTAGGCGCTATCCTGGCATTTCAGGGCCTCCGAAACTGTGATAGGTAGTCTGGAAGTGTAATGAGGAAATAAAGCCCTTTAAAAGCCTGAAGGTGCTTATTGGATTTTGGGGTCCTGTACTTGGCTAGACTGCCAAAACATCTCTCACATGTGGTACCCCCCATACTCGGGAGAAGTAGCAGAATAAATTTTGGGGAGTAATTCCATATATACCCATGGCATGTGTGAGCAGTAAATCATTTAAGTGACAATTTTGTGTAAAAAAAAAAAAAAAATTTTTTTTTTGTCATTTTCCAAAAACTTGTGGTAAAAAAATAGATTCTTCTATTTGATTCAACATGCCTCTCAGCAAATAGTTTGGGGTGTCTACTTTCCAAAAAGGGGTCGTTTTGGGGGGTGGGGGCGTTTCTATGCCCAGCATTAGAAGTTTATGCCACACATCACTCACTCTTCTAACCACCTGAAGACCAAGCCTTTTCTGACACTTTTTGTTCACATGAAAAAAATCTGTATTTTTTGCTAGGAAATTAATTTAAACCCACAAACATTATATATATTTTTTTTTAAGCAGACACCCTAGTGAATAAAATGGTGGGTACTACAATTTTTTATGGCACATAGTACTCGCGCAGCGATTTTTCAAAAGCAAAATTAAAAAAAAACACTTTTTTTACATTTAATGCACAAAAACACAATATATTGGCCAATTATTTGATAAAATATAAAAGATAACGGTATGCCAAGTAAATAGATACCAAACATGACATGCTTTAAAACTGCACATACCCCGTGCAATGGTGACAAACTGCACAATTTTTAATATCCATAGGCAATGCTTTAAAAGCCTTTAAAAGCTACCATTTTAGATTTACAGAGGAGGTCTAGTGTTAGAATTACTGCCCTTGATCTGACGTTCACAGCAATACCTCACATGCATGGGTGCAACCACTGTTTACATAATGACCATGGTCAAGGCTTGTGCACACAGGTGTGTGTGCATGGGAAGGGCAATTTATTTTTTTTTTTATAGTTATTTTGATTTTTTTATTTTTTATTGTACCTTTCATTTTTTTTTTTTTTTGATCACTTTTAATGCTATAGCAGGGAATGCAAATATCCCCTATAACTTCAATGGGCATTGTCATATATTCTTTTTTGAGAAATCTGGGGTCTATCAGACTCTGGATATCTCCTCTGCCCTTACATTATCTAATCAAACCAAAATCGGTGTGATCAGATGCTTTCCAAATTTACAAATGGCGCTGTTTATATCCTGCGAAACTGAAGTGATGAAATGCTCGAAGCTTCCGAATTCTTAGACTATAGAGATGACTGGCACCACTCTGGTCTCCAATCAGCTCTATGGTCAGCTGGCAGAAACACCGGCTGCATTCTCAGATTCCCCCGATGGCACGAGACTGCCCGAGAAGGCCGTGGGAGGCAGCGGGGGAGGGGGGGCATCATCTCCCGCTGCTTGTAAAAGCAATCCTGCAGCTAATTAGCCACTAGGATTGCTTTTACATGAAAGCCGATTGCCGGCTGAAAAAAAAACGATACCAGGATGATGCTTGCAGCTGTAGGTATCATCCTGATATAACCAAAGTCCAGTGATGTACCAGTAAGTCGCTGATCCTTGTTGGGTGTATATGCTATGTTCTTTTTTTTGTATGCAGCCTGTGGACTGAATGAAAAAATGAGAAGAAATCTCTGCCAGAAAAAGTGTGTGGCATGCCCACCATTAGAATATACCACCCTGCATCCACCCACTTCTGTCTAAATAGTGGCACGCTTGAAAAAAAAAATGACCATGTATAAGTGGTACCCCCCATATGGAAAAATGATGACACCAAGTCCCAAACTATCTTGCCACTACTCCCCATGTAGTCTGGGCATCCGGGAGGCTGCACGTGACTATCTTTTCCCTCGTAAATCCAAAACTTATAGGTATAGCCTGTTGCCCTCTCACAGGTCTTCTACATCTTGACCCCATATCTGGCACGCTTGCTGGGGAGAAAATGTGTGTGAATGCAAGGCAGCCAGAAAAATTGAGGGACTCATCAATGCAGATGTTTTACTTGGGAGTATAGACATCTGCAAATTTTTGGTTAAGGTGATTTGCGAGGGGTGCATCTTGTGGAGCCGATCAAATTCAGGGTTACCCCGAGGATGACAGAGTGTATTGTTGAAATGCATAAAACACATTATACTCTCATATCTATGCCTGGCCATGGCAGCAGAGAACACGGTATATGATGAATCTGGTCTGCGGACCAATACAACCGCAATTCATTTCTTTTAGTAATGCCCATGTTGAGGGTTAGGTCCAAAAAAATGTAAATTCGAAAACCGTAATGAGTTTCCATGCGAATGGTCTGACAAGGTTTGAATTTGGGTTGGGGGCGATAAATTGTTGTGCATATAAATTGCTTTGATCCACAATCAATGCATACAGATATTCCGTGAAAAACAGCTCCAAAAATCAAGGAGGTATGTGAAAGACCAAGATGTACTAGACCGCTGGTACTCGCCAGTTCACCAAAAGGTAGAGAGGCACTAGTACTGGCACTCTGCTGCATATGAAAGTCATCAAAATTTACCGGCAAGTGCTAACAGAGATCAGGCCTGATTCTGCGAACACTGCGGTTTTGTGTGCAATGTATCAAGTGTGACAGTGACCTACTGACACTGCACTTGCTGGGGGAGAAGGAGGGGGGGGGGTAAGCGTAGGGGCTAAACGCAGGTGTTGGCAGGTGCCCAGGCTGATCCCGCTAACGCTGCGTTTTTGGGGACGCTACACTAATGTGAACGCTGGTATAGTGCTGACCTGATCAAAGATATTGACCCGTTCTGACACTATACTAGCAATGGAGGTTTATTGTACATGGGCGTGATCCTGGCAATCAAGGGGTTGAATGTGATAACTGGTGTACTGACGGGCAATCTGACAGGGGCGTGAAAAACCACGGGAGCGTGATAGATATATATATACATATACATACATATATATACATATACAGTTGCAAGAAAAAGTATGTGAACCCCTTGGGATTACGTGGAGTTTTGCATGAATTGGGCATAAAATGTGCTCTGAACGTCTTCTAAGTCACAACAATAGAAGAACACAGTCTGCTGAACATAATACTACACAAACATTAGATGTTGCCATGGTTTAATTGCACATAATATGTAAACATTCACAGTGCAGGGAGGAAAAAGTATATGAACCTTTGGACTTAATAACTGGTTGACCCTCCTTTGGCAGCAATAACCTCAACCAAACGTTTCCCGTAGTTGCAGATCAGACCTGCACAACGATCTGGAGTAATTTTGGACCACTCCTCTTCACAAAACGGTTTCAGTGTAGCAATATTCTTGGGATGTCTGGTGTGAATCGCTCTCTTAAGGTCATGCCACAGCATTTCAATCGGGTTGAGGTCAGGACTCTGACTGGGCCACTCCAGAAGGCGTATTCTGTGCTGTTGCAGCCATTGTTTTGTTGAATTACTTGTATGCTTTGGGTCATTGTCCTGTTGCATCACCCATGCTCTGCGGAGCTTCAGTTGGCGGACAGATAGTCATACGTTTTCCTGGAAAATGTCTTGATAAACTCTGGAATTCATTTTCCCATCAATGACAACAATCTGTCCAGGCCCTGAGGCAGCAAAGCAGCCCCAAACCATGATGCTCCCTACGCCATGTTTTACAGTGGGGATGAGGTTTTGATGTTGGTGTGCTGTGCCTTTTTTTCTCCACACATAGTGTTGTGTGTTCTTCCCAAACAACTCAATCTTGGTTTCATCTGTCCACAGTATATTTTGCCAGTAGTGCTGTGGAACATCCAGGTGCTCTTTTGCAAACTTCAAACGTGCTGCAATATTCTTTTTGGACAGCAATGGCTTCCTCCGTGGTGTCCTCCCATGTACTCCATTCTTGTTTAATGTTTTCCTTATTGTAGATGTGTCAACAAAAATGTTAGCATGTGCCAGAGATTTCTGTAGGTCTTTAGCTGACACTCTGGGATTCTTCTTTACCTCATGCAGCATTCTGCGCTGTGCTCTTGCAGTCATTTTTACAGGATGACCACACCTAGGGAGAGTAGCAACAGTGCTAAACTTTCTCCATTTGTAGACAGTCTGTCTTACTGTGGACACATGAACATCAAGGCTTTTGGAGATACTTTTGTAACCCTTTCCAGCTTCATGCAAGTCAACAATTCTTGATCGTAGATCTTCTGAGAGCTCTTTTCTGCGAGGCATGGTTCACATCAGACAGTGCTTCTTGAAACCAGTAAACCCAAAACAGGTGTGTGTTTTTTTAAGGGCAGGACAGCTGTCAGCAACACATCCAATATCATCACACTGATTGGAGTCAAGGTTGGCTCACTCCTGGCTCCAATTAGCTCTGGGAGAAGTCATTAAGCTAGGGCCTCACATACTTTTTCCTCCCTGCACTGTGAATATTTACATGTTATGTGCAATTAAACCATGGCAACATCTAATGTTTGTGCAGTATTATGTTCAGCAGACTGTGTTCTTCTATTGTTGTGACTTAGATGACATTCAGAGCACATTTTATGCCCAATTCATGCAAAACTCCACGTAATCCCAAGGGGTTCACATACTTTTTCTTGCAACTGTATATATATACACACACATATATATACACATATATATACATATGTGATGTTGCGCACCCATGCCGCCCTGTAGCAGTATTTCTGCTATAGGGCGGTCAGGAAGCGGTTACAGAAGTGGTTTGTGTTACGTCGCTGCGTTACTTTAACGGACAATTGCGCGGTCATGCAACACTGCACCCAAATTAAATTTACATCCTGTTTTTTCCCACAAATTGAGCTCTCTTTTGGTGGTATTTGATTGCCTGTGCGTTTTTTTTTTTTTTTTTGCGCTATAAAAACAAAAAGGCTGACAATTTTGAGAAAAAAAAAACAATATTTTGGACTTTTTGCTATAAAACATGTCCAGAAAAAAAATGTAAAAATCAAATTTAGTCATAAATTTCTGCCAAAATGTATTCTGCGACATGTCTTTGCTAAAAAAAAAAATCCCAATACGTGTAAATTAATTGGTTTACGTGAAAGTTATAGCGTCCACAAATGGCGGGAAAGATACTGGGATATTTTTTTTTTTATACGAATAATGGCGGCGATCAGCGACTTATGGCAGTGATCAGCGATTTATGACAGTGATCAGCGAATTATGGCGGGACTGCGGCGGACATTTTGACACTGGGGGGGAACTGACTTGGGGTCACTGACATCCCCAGTGACACCAATACAGTAATCAGTGCCAAAAGAAAAAAAAAACGGACACTGTACTAATGGCACTGGGGAGGAAGGGGTTAACATTAGGTAATGAAAGGGTTAACTGTGTGAGGGGAGTGTTTTACTAGGGGGCGGGGGTGTGTACTTCACAGGAACACGCTGATCCCGAGAGATAGTCTTCTCTCAGGTTCAGCGTGCTCTGAACTGACAGATAGCAGAGCTGCAATGTAAACACTGCAGCCATGCTGTCAGTGATTACTGGTAATCGCCGGGACCCAGCAGGTAAAGACTGGCCGGGACCCGGTGATGGACACCCGCTGCCGCAAACGGCAGGGACGGGTAGGGAGGGCATGTGCCTCGAGAATGCCCCCTACCTGTTTTGCACAGCGATGTTAAAAGACAGCACTGTGCGCAGAGGTGCCGCCCTGCCGCAGTAAAAACACTGCGGCAGGTCGGCAACTGGTTAAACAAAAGGCTGCATTGTGCACAAGACAGCACAAGAGTTCGACAAGATTAACTGATACTTTTTGCATGTATGAAAAATTAAAACTGCTTTTAAATATACACAATTAAAAAGCAGTTTTTTATATTTTTTCATACATGCAAAAATACCAAAAAGCAAATAAGGGAAGTTCATTGCTAGGGTATACATATCCTTGAAAAAGTCTGTGATTTGACAAAACGGTTTTCTCAAATGTAGGTCCCACTGCAATGCATAACATTTCTGTAGTAACTTACATTCCTATTCTTTCCTCTCTCTGCACCCAAAAGTTCCCCATGAAAATATTACTCTTAAAAACATGGACAGTTCTGTAAAACCTTTTCTGCAACTTCCACCTATTGGTTTTTAACATTAAATCGGTTTAGATTCATCCACTGCCAAAGTGCATCTTATCCACTTAAAACCATGCGGTGGAAATATGAAATATTTAAAACCATAATCAAATGGCACAACTGTTTGTCATAGTTAAGCGGCATAAAAGAGCCAAGCTACATACCAGCAGTAGTGCTTCCATCTTCTTTAAAGGCTGGTTTGAGTTTTGCCAGCCCCTCCAGGGTGGTGCTGGGCCGGATGCCATCATCTTCACTTACTGTGATGGTCTTTGTATTGCCTTGATCATCAGTGACTGTGGTGGTTACAGGAACTATTTCAGCCTTGAAGCGGCCTGCTCTTTGTGCAGCTGCAGCTCTAAAAAAAGAGAGATTTAATAGAGATTTCTTTGCAGGCTGCTTTGTATGTGTGAAGGGGATTTCCATAGTGAAATGAACAGGGAATTTGACACTCTACAGAAAGCAGAAACATCAGACTAGTGTAATGAGAAGCATAATCAGCTCTTATGATATACAGGCGTGCTTATTATTTTTACTTTGCTTAGTGAATGAGCTAAAGCTGTGATCACTTCAAATACCCACTCATGTGCTAGAAAAAATACGAAAAAAAAAAAAACCTGCAGGAGTAGGACACCCAATACAACTTAAAAAAAAAACCCCACAAACGACAGGCTAGATCAAGAAACTAGCAAGTTCCATGCTACAAGTAGGTTTGGCTGCAACAGCATATTTGATACTTTTCCCTTGGGGGAGCATTTCACATGTGACCACCCAACTGAATGGTCTGTTACAGTGTTCCCCTTACAGGCCAGCAGCACCTTGACTTCGGTGGTTTCCAGCCAATGTCTTGGATGGATAACAGGGACTTTGTATGAAGATCTCCATAAGGTGCAATCTGTCTTCCCAGGGGAAAAATTTTAATTTTATTGGTGTTTGTGGAGACTCCTGGTTCCCCTATAAAGAGGGGTTACCACTAGAACTGGGAGGGCAGCTGTTTGGCTGCATGGGGTGCTGGCCCTTTAAGGTTCACTATCGAAGGTTGGCCCCTGACAAGTCACGTAATTGTGGCACTGCTCTCACCTTCTGCTACCCAAGGAGTCAATCCTACCTCTGCACTGGAAAATGTTAATGACAAACACCAGTTTGCATGGCTGGGGATGAGTACGGAGTTCCTGGAGCCTTGAGGAGTCCCTACTTCCAATCAATTTACTGGTTATAAGTGTTACTAAACCCCGGACCCGGCATTCGCTCTATCTGGTCTCCCACAGTACACAGAACATGGAAATGCAATTATTTTAGTAATATAAACTGCTAAATACCTTTTCACATCAGCAGTTAGAGCAGTCGTCTGACTTCTATCAGTGTCCAGCAGAGCACTGGTTAAAGCTTGTAGAAGTTTTATTTCTGCTCTAGGAGTATGCAGAACCCCTGACCTCTGTCTGGACAGCGCTGATTGGCCCTGTGTTGATCGCATGCACTCTCCCAAGAAAAAAAAAAAAAAAAAACCTCTCTAGCAATACACACCAAATTGAGCATGTGCAAAATGTCCACATGATATGTCTTATCAGGAGATAAGAGGGGGCACTGGAAGAAGGAGGGGCAGAGAAGTCAGGATCAAACAGCAATTTTACACAATGCAGAGGATTAACCCCTTTAGGTTTCACAGTGAGTATATCAAGCATGCTTTACTGCATTTACAGACTGATTTTACTGTTGTAGGTTTAGGAACACTTAAATGTACTCTGCTTCACTGGATACACCTGCTGGAGTGACACCCTGAGCGGGAACAGTCAGACGTCACAGCGGTATATGTATATAATCTACGGGGGGTCCAAGAAGGCAGTGGCAGTGCTGGAAGTGTCTCACCCTACACTGGGCTGAGAATAAATGTGCTGGCTCCCTCCACAGTACACCTACCCGGGGAGAAACTTATAAGCAGACTGTGACAGTTGAATAGGTCTGGACCAGGGAGAGTGGGCCCTTCATTAGGAAGCCTTCTATCATACTTGCCAGTGAGGAAGAGCACCAGATGATGTCGATCTTCTGGCATCACACCTCAATTGAAAATTAGATAGGTTTGTAGAAAGAGGACCCCTGGGCAGATGCAATAGTAGTTCCATGGGGTTGCTACACTCCAATATAGGTTTACCCTTTGGTAAAACATGTGCCATGGATACTACAGGGGATTGAAGTTGAGGGGCTTTTTGTCCTGGAGGCTCCAGATTGTCCATGCAGGTCATGGTTTGTGAATCTCCTACATCTTGTAGTATACACCCCCTGGTGCTGAGGGTTATTGCATGCAATCATCTATACTTAAGGCTCACAAGGCCACATCTTTTAGGATTTAAAGGAAGACCTATTTTGCATGGTGTTCTCATTCTCTCACCATTGCCTGTCTCATGTCTTTTCTCCAGCATGGGGTGGTACAGCAGTTGCCCTAAAACACCATTATGGATCAGGTGTAAGCTTTGTCTTATGTTTTATTTTAGCATTCTCTGGCATCGCTGCTGCTTGCCCTCTGTCTGTGAGTAGGGATAGCTTGGCTTTGCCTTCGATGCCCAGGGCTTGAGTGACTGGGAAAGGAGCTGCATAGATCAGAACTGCTTAGGAGCAGAGAGTTGATTGTGCATTGTCATCCAGGCATGAGCTGGTATTGTCCGGTGTTACAAAAAAATGCCTTTGAAGGATAGTAGGGAATTCCTGTGGCTAATACTTACACTCTCAGAAAGTGGCATTACTATTAGCCATTATTCAGCACGTAGATTTCCTGAACTTGCAAGCCTAAAATTTTTGGTTTCTTTTGGTAGCCTTCAATGGAGTAAGGTCATCCTGAGTCTGAGACTCTCTTTTATGCTAAACTAAAGAAGTTGCCGTACGTTATTTGGAATTAGTCAGAGCTATTATGGGGGACTTAAATGCCACACCTGGGTCTGATAGGTCAGATTCAGTTTCATGGTTGAAAAGGATCCACAGAAGGACTTTGGACAACAATATACCAGGTCCAGCATGAAATAGTAGCAGAAAATGCTGCAAACATATGTTATCAAACAGGCATATGAAAGCAGGGGAAGGGAGGATTGCCGCAACCTCCCTTGTGCTGGGCCACACTAAGATTGTGCTTCCTCTTCCTTCAGACCCTTCCTGTTTTCAAAGCATTAGTTAATATAGAAACATCCTCAGTAATATGCCAAGTGACTGTCGGTGTGTATTGCCCATGAAATGTGCTAGCCTTGTGCCCTTTGTTTCCTCTGGGATTTTTACAGTAAAGCATCCGAAACAGAATCCTCAGAGCGGGTAAGGAGCCGCTCATTCTGGGATTGTGGCCAGAAGCAGCACTGAGCAAGGATATTTAGGAAAGACCTGGAGAGAGAAGCCATCCCATGCGTGTGGGGGACACTGACGCTGGGCTTTTGCCAAAGCTTCATGGACTCATCAGTCGATCGTGCTCCAGGCTTTTCCACAATCTCCTGTGCACTGTGGTTTAGATGAGGTCTCTTCCTTCCCTTCTTCCCGTAGCTTTGGCAATGTATTAATTCTATGATGTGACGCTGTCAAAAGATGTGTTTTGTTTCATGCTGTTATACTCACATTACTATTGGTGTGTTTTATTATGCAGATTGTGATAGCCATAAGATATATCCTCCTGTTTGTTGTGTGATAATAAAAGTGGAGGTTTTGATAGTGCAAGAACACTGCAGTTGGATTCTGTTATTTCTTGGGATGCTGAGTGAATGCTGTATGATGTGCCAGGGCAGCTTTACACTTGATAGTGTGTCCCTCACAGACTTAGAAACTATGGTGTGAGTGCTGGTTGATTGTACCTGTGCAGTGTGTGTGACTTGCTCTTGGAGTTTGTGTCCAGCTTTGCATTACAGGGTGGTTGTAATCAAATCAGTGTACAGATGCTTATACTAAAGGAAAGTTCTGCCCACACCATCGCTACTTCCTCATATGTCAGACCGGCTATTGTAAGGCTGTTCTGGGACCTGTCTTCATGGTTTGGGCAATCAACAGCAGGGTCCATTCACACCACAAAACTGTGCTGCAGGGCAGCTCACATGCGTTATCAAAGCATGCATACTACATGTGCAATACACTCACTGCTTATGTAATATTTGTATACTTTCAAGGCTGGGACAATGGGTGGGGGCAACTGTGAATTAATTTGTTTGGCGTAATTAGACCCATTTTATTTTAAAATATTTTAATTTACTTGTCTGTTAAAGACACCAATTAATGTGTAATAAAACTGGGGAAAGGGGGAGTTTGGCATCTTCAATCTGGGCACTGGACAACATTTGCCTAAGCACCAGAAGCCACTGTTCTGGTTACAGAGCATTCGACAAGAGTATTAAAACACATCCTGGGCTTTCCATCAAGCATCAATTTCTCAGGTTTGTAAGGTGGGTACCTGGTCATCAGTTCATACATTCTCCAAGTCTTGCAAGATTGATGTGGCAGTATCAACTGATGCTAGTTTTGTCATCCAGTTTTACAGGCAGCAGTCTAACTGGCCTGCAACATTTTCTTTAAGTACGGTTAGTCTATATTTCAGTACTATGTTTTGTTTGCCTCCATTGTGGCCAGTAGGTGATGATCTAAAGCAGAAGCTGTGTCCTTCAATGACAGAAGAAAAAAAAAAAAAAAAGAGAGGAATTTGGACTTACTTGTAAATTTCTGTAAATAGGCTGGAGTACAGGACTTGTATTCAAAGATCATGGGTTATAACCTCTACCCTGAGGTTACTGCTATGACCACCCTTACTGCATGCCAATATATCCTCACCCATTCCACGTGTCTCCAGTTTTTATGCAAACAATAAGGATTGACCACAGAGAGGGGCATGTGCCCTTTACTAAACCCCGAGATAAGGAACTTATAAGTAAAAATTCCCTTTATCCTAACTGTACAGTACAGGACCTGTATTCAAAGACCATAGGAAGAGCAATAAACTGAGGAGTGGGCAACAGCATAGAAAACAGAACTACCAGCAGGCAGGTGTGTCATGAACATCATAATCCTCAGAATACGTCCAGATGGAAAAAAAAAAAAAAAAAGAAACTTTAAAATTGCTTATGGGATGTTGAAAGTGACATAGAAGTATAACAGAGAGTAAAGTGAATTACTCCCAATTCCACTGCCTATGTACCTGTACCAGGAGCGGACTGACAACTCATGGGGCCCAATGTGTCCTTGCCCAAACTCAAAAAAGCCTATGAAAAAAAAAAAAAAAAAAAGTACCAGGGGCATCTTATGGAGCCCCCTACTGACGGCAGTGCCCGAGTTTCCAAATAGTCAGTCCGCCCCTGACCTGTACTATATGCTTAGCACTGTGGACTGTGTATTATTAGCCAAGAACCGGTCCCAAATAACAGGGAAGCCCTGGCTCACCGTATCCACATAGATGGGCCTATTAGGTGTTCAGGCTTCTCCTGTCACATTGGACATATCCCCACCAGGGGTCATCAGGGTGGACTGTAGCTCCAGAAAATGTATATCACCTTGCAGTTACCACTAAACACGTTGCACTTCATGCCAAGGTGAGTGGCTAACGCAGGATCCAATGCCTAAAGCAAACATTACAGGCCAGTCCCAAAAAGTGAGATATAGGTATGGTCTAAAGGTACAACACAGAGTGTTATTGATACGGAAACTGCTAGATAGCCCACGGCAATAAGCAGCCAGATCTTAATAGAACTGTCAGCAGAAAAAAAAAAAAAAAAAAAAAAAAAAAAGGAGGTCCAATTGCCAAAGCAAAATACTGGAGTCTTATGGAGTGGGTGGTATTACATGAGTGTGCACTATGAGTGACACTATCACGGTCAGTGTCCAACCATCTGAAGACAGCTTGCATATAACACATGGCCTATTAAATACAAGTCCTGTAGTGTAGGATTAAAACATAGTATTTTCTGTGTTCTGTGGTGAGCACCAAATAATCCCCAGCTGTCCAGTATGAAGAACAGCAGACTGGACACGCAGTCCTGTCCATAATTTTCACAACTATATATAACAGACAAACATATTATTAGGTAATTAAAGGCATTAAAAATTGTTTACTTTTGTTGAGAAGTCAGGGAAAACATATCTTGTTTCTGTCTGCTGACCCCAAACTGTTCAGCCACATTCTCTGAGGTAACCCTGCAATAAAACAATTATAAGGCATTTTAATATACTATTATAACATAGCAAGTGCTTCTCAACTGTAATAGTAAAAGTATCACTAGGGATGTGTACATTTACTAACTATACCCTCTGTGTGTAAAACAGTTATGTCTTTATTTAACCAAAATAAACTATCCAGAAACAAAAAATATCATATAGCAGCTTATCCATTCTTATAAGTGATAGCTGCATTACTTTTTATTTTTTTCACACTTTTTTCCTTTCTTTTTACCGGTATGATCCTGTCCAGTAACACACTTCCGGCCCTAAAGTTGAAAAGCTCACTCATCATAATGTGTTTATGGAACAGCAGCATTATTATTCCTAATGACTGGAAATGTGTTACATCAATAAAACACTTTTCTCTCGCCTCATCTCCATAACATAGGAGGTAGGTATTCTGTAGTTCACAGTTGTAAGCTGGGTAGAAGGAATAATATTGTTTGAAATAACTGCAGAGTGCACAGGACAGCGCTGAGTTTCAATAGTTATTTATTTTGCACTTACTGAACTGATAACAAAATGATTTCAAATTATCAAAACCAAAAAGGGAGAAGAGAAGTAATTGTTGGAGTTTGCATACATTTTAATATCTATTGTTCATATGTATAAATGTTTACATGTTAAATCTTTCTCTGGTTATGTCCCATTCAGGGGCGGACTGACAACTCATGGGGCCCCTGGGCAATGTCCTTGCTCTTAAACTCAAAAAAGCCTATGAAAAAGGTACCAGGGGCATCTCATGGGGCCCCCTATTGACCCCGGGCCCTCGGGCAGTGTCCGAGTTTCCAAATGGTCAGTCCGCCCCTGGTCCCATTCATACATGCCTATGTTAAGCTCTTCTGAACGCAGGAGACATTATCTGGCAAGTATGAACAACTCCCAGATCACTTTTTCCTGTGCTTAAACCTGATTTAAAGCCGGTTTAAATCAGGTTTGCACACATTTAGCATTTTGGGTTAGAGTGTCTAATCAGATGCTCGCTGCTTTTTTTAAAATCAACTAAACTGACTACATCAGGTAAATGCACACTGTGAATGGCACCACTGAAAAACCATCTCACACATTTAGAGATGTCCTCTAAAATACACAAACGAAGGTTTGAAAATGCCATGTAAATGAGGCTTAAAAATGGATACTCCAATAAAATGCCTCATGTACAACTCTTTGAGAAGCAGTGACCTAGACACCACAAAGTAACAGAAGATACAATTATTTCTAATAACCATTAAAGTGGCTCTAAAATTAAAATATGTTTTTTACCTTAATGTATTCCCTGCATTAATGTAAAAAATTCCCTTACCATTTACTATGGGTTCCCAAAAAATGTTTTCGATCCATTTGTCTGCCATGCCCTTTCGCACATGCTCAAAGAAGGAGTACTTATTGGCTCATGCTGCCAAGTCCCTGTATCGATCCAGTGCTGAGCCTTGCTGTCTGCCAGTCTTCTCTCCTCTCTCCCTGCTCGCACATGCTTGGGGCTGAAAGAAGAAGGAGTCATTGGCTCATGCTGCCATCAGTCAAAGCCTGTAAAAGCAGGGGGCAGACAGAGCCCAGCTCAGGACCAAGCCTTCATATCTGCCCCCATAGCAGGTGTTTGCTATGGGGGCAGGCACAGAAGAGAAGGAGTCAAGGTCACTTTAGTGGAACCGCAGAAGAGGAGGTTCAGGTTGCTCTGTGCAATACCACTACACAGAGCAGGTAAGTACAACAGGTTTATTATTATAAGAAAAAAAATCTGCCTTTACAAAAACGCATTAAATTGTTTAACTTTTATCTAATCAAAACAAGGAATGAAACATATATAAACAGAAGAAGTTTGCAGAAATACAATGAAGCCCAGAAAGTAATAGTGTTGCATCTGTGTATTCCCAAAGTTTCAACTTATCAGATGGCCAGTGCAGAATGTTGTTCTCTAAATGTAGAGGAAAAGCATGAGAAATGTTGCCTCTAATAATGAAGCTCCTAAAGGTTCTAGAAGCATCTTTTCATTAGTAATTCAGTTTCTGTGCACTCGAGCATGATTATAAGGGAAAACGCATGACTTTGATCGGGAATGACAGAAGGTTTGCAGAAATACAATGAAATGGTTGCATCTGGTATTCCCAAAGGTAAGCAGAATGTGTAGAGCAGCCTAAAAAAAAGCTCCTTGACTATAGGTTTCCACCCTCGGGCAGGGTGCAGGGAAATTCACAAAAAAAAATTGACTATAGAACACTGAAGGTACATATATTATTGTAACACTGAACTCTTACCCCATAGGGATGAGACAGTCCCTAGCTTTGGCATCATCCGCAATACGAGAACTGACATCTCCAATATTTCCAACGCTCCGGAGGCTCATAGACTCCACCCTGAATACAAACATACCAACAATTGTCATTTTCAGCATCCAGTTATGACAAATTTCACCATGTGTGACATGGCAGTACATAACCAAACCCCAGTGGGCAGATCTGGCAGACATTTTTTCACACGTAAAAGCACAGCTAATAAAGAATATTACTGTTTGGGGTTGTAGCAGTTATATTACTATGGGGTTGATTAACTAAAGTTGTAGAGGCTGTTTACTTGGCATACAGGTCCTTGCACTACGTAGTTGAAAGTAAATCTAAAGAAATTTGAACAAAAAAATTGTGTAATGTATGGCCAGCTGAAATCTTTGAAAATAGAGTTAACCTCATTTACTTTGAATACCCAATCATGTGTAAGAAAACATCCAAAAACAGGATTTTAGCTAGCATATGATTTATGATTTACCTTAGTCATCAAAATTAACTTTGGAAAGTTAACAAACATACCAATACATATGCAAGCTATAGTTTTATAATGGATATGGGCTGAAAGTGCACAAACTCAGGTTTAATTTGAAGGTATGTACATCCAAATTAGTGGAAGGGTTTAGAAATTACAGCTCATAAGTACGTACCCCCCTTTTTTCAAGGGACCAAAAGTAATTGGACAATTGAATCAAAAGCTGTTTCATGGCCAGGTGTGGGCTACTCCTTCGTTATTTCTTTATCAATTAAGCAGGTAAAAAGTCTGGAGTTGATTCTAAGTGTGGTATTTGCATTTGGAATCTATTGCTGTGAACCTCCACAATGTGTTCAAAGGAGCTGTCCATGCAAGTGAAACAAGCCATGGTAGGGCTTCAAAAACAAAAAAAATCCATCAGAGAGATAGCATATAATTACATAGTTAGCCTGGCTGAAAAAAAAAAACAAAAGTCCATCCAGTTCAACCATTATTAAAAAAAAAAAAAAAAAAAAGTTATAATCCTATACTCACAGTTGATCCAGAGGAAAGCAACAAAAAACCCTGCAAAAGTATGATCCAATTTGCTCCTGCAGGGAAAAAAAATTCCTTCCTGATCCCCCAAGAGCCAATCGGATATTCCCTGGATCAACTTTACCTAGAAATGTTAGTATCCAGTTATATTGTGTGTATAGCAGCAACATTAGGAATGGCCAAATCAACAGTTTGGTACATTCTGAGGAAAGAAGAACGCACTGATGAGCTCAGCAACATAAAAAAGGCATGGACGTCCACTTAAGACAACAGTGGTGGATGATCGCAGGATCCTCTCTATGGTAAAGAAAAAAACCCATTCACAACATCCAGACAAGTGAAGGACACTCTCCAGGAGGAGGGCGCGTATCATTGGCAAAGTCTACAATCAAGAGAAGACTTCACAAGAGCAAATACAGAGGGTTCACCACACGGTGCAAACCATTCATAAGCCTGAAGAATAGAAAAGGCAGACTTTGCCAAAAAACATCTAAAAAAGCCAGGCTAGTTCTGGAAAAGCATTCTTTGGACGGATGAAACTAAAATTAATCTGTACCAGAATGATGGGAAGAAAAAAAAAAAAAAAAAAAAAAAAGTGTGGAGAAGGCTTGGAACAGCTCATGATCCAAAGCACACATCATCATCTGTAAAACATGGTGGAAGCAGTGTGATGGCATGGGCATGCATGGCTTTCAGTGGCACTGGGTCATTGGTGTTTATTGATGTGACAGAAGACAGAAGCAGCCAGATTAATTCTGCAGTGTTTAGAGATATATTGTCACCCCAGATTCAGCAAAGTTGATTGGACGGTGCTTCACAGTACAGATAGACAATGATCCAAAAAAACACACTGCAAAAGCAACCCAGGAGCTTTTGAAGAAAAAAAAAGTGGAATATTCTGCAAGGGCCGAATCAGTCAGCTGATCTCAACCCAGTTGAGCATACATTTCACTTGCTGAAGGCAAAACTAAAGGCGGAAAGACCCACAAACAAAGAGCAACTGAAGACAGCTGCAGTTAGAGCCTGGCAGAGCATCAGAAAGGAGAAAAACCCAGCTTTCGGTAATATCCATGGGTTCCAGACTTCAGGCAGTCATAGCCAGTAAAGGATTCTCAACAAAATATTAAAAATGAACATTTTATTTATGATTATATTCATTTGTCCAATTTCTTTTGGTCCTTTGAAAAGGGGGGATGGCTACTCTTAAAACTATAATTCATAAACCTTTCCTCCAATTTGGATGTACATACCCTCAAATTAAACCTGAGCGTGTGCACTTTCAGCCCATATCCATTATATAACTATAGCTTGAATATGTTTTGGCAAATACTTGAAAAAAATGTAAATGTATCCAAATATATATGGACCTAACTGTAATATTATATTAAACTGTCTTATTGTCAGCACAATAATTATCAGGTAACCAACATAGCACTATACTACTGAATTTTCCAGAGTCCAAAGATCCTAGATGCCACCCTGGAGAGAATAGCATATACTCAATGAATTATTGTCCATTGTTGGACTACACAGTTATATTTTATGTATTTGTAATCTATTCTATCCCTGTGTAGGTGGGAAGTGTTCTAATGATACCCCAGGATGCCCATAGGGTAACAAATATAAAAAGATAAGCTAATTACAGCTTATGTATCTTTGGATAACCTACGTAACACTTCACTACTGAAGTTTCCAGAGTTGTACATGTAAAAAAGGGAATGGTGGGCATGCATTCTGAATTGTGAATGGGGCATGTATTTAGCCAAATAACTCTGAAAACGTGAATCTTCAGCAAAGGGTGCTCCACTCCATTTTAAATGTGGGAGATGGTAATATCACACATTAGTAGTATAGCATCCTTTTTCCCCTCACCCAAGAATTTCCAAAGAGAAAAAAAAAAAAAAAAAAAAAAAGTGTCTCAGTTGCCGGTGGTGTGGGGCTAGTAGCATATGCAGGCTAAGTGGGATAAGCAGATATTGGCAACCCGACCTCCTGCTTGGGGCAGTAACGAGAATTGGGTTCCCCTTCACATGCGGTCATATGAGATGCATACAGATGACGCTGCCAAAAGGGTTTTAAAAAACAGGCAGATGCTCACAGTTCTTGTTAAGACATCTGCCCATCAAACAACTGTATGGCCTCTCTTGGAAACCAGCACAATTGTGTATATCGGTCTCTACCAATGTACAAATTAAGACAGATCAGACTGAAGTTATGTTCCCCATGAGTAACACATTACATGTAATTATGCCGTAATTTAATGGGAGTCTCCTTACCCACATGCCAGTCCAATGTCATAGGAACCGTTTTTTTATGCCACCTGTAAGCAATGTAAATGATTTTCATTCATTAAAATGCTGAAACATGCAGCGGATTATAAAAACTGGAAGACATTAAAAATAGAGCTGCACGCCACAGCAATCAAAATGATTCCATTGATTGAACTCTAACATGTACATGGAAAATGAAACCTGATCTGTTGGTAAGCGCTCCACTTGTTCCCTCCAATTTTCAAAACCCTGTATTCAGGGATTCTTGAAGTCTCAGCAGCCCTTTACGCTGAGAATTCATAGCCTTAAATTGATTCATGTATCAGAGAAATACATCATCATAGGTACAAAAAGGTAGCAAATATAAAGAATTTAGCATCATCACAAATGTTACAGAGCAAAGCAGGCAAAACACACATCAGGGATCAAAAGCAGGTATACATCATATGACACTGGCATTGCCCGACATGCGTTTTGTCTGGTGCAACGAATGTCTTCAGGGGAAAAAGAGCTCTATTGTACCAGATAAAACATGTGTAGGGTGAGGCGGCATTTGTTGTTATACACCTGCTATTGGCCCCTGGTGTGTTTTGCATGTGTTGCTCTTTAACCTTTGTGAGTATATCTGGTTTTAATAAATCACATGGTTTTAGCATACTACTCTATGGTCCTTTGTTCTCCTACCCATTATTACTCTGAGATGCTGCCTTTTGGATAACCAGTGAAGGACTGTGGAGGTGGTGGTAGCCCGAGTGGTGGCCTCCCAGTTGGATGATTTCTACGCGTTGATCCCTTATTTGGAGATCATTACCGTTTGGTAAGGTAACTGGCACACTTGTTTGTAAAGTGGTTTAGGATGCTTACACGTTGATTCTCATAATTTTCAAGATTTCACATTTGGACTTTTATATGTTTTTCTTTAAAGTTTACCCCTTTTTTATGCACATATTATGTCATTGCTATTTCACCATATACAGGTGAAACTCGAAAAATTAGAATATTATTTCAGTAATACAACTTAAAAGGTGAAAATAATATATGAGATAGACTCATTACATGCAAAGCAAGATAGTTCAAGCCTTGATTTGTCATAATTGTGATGATTACGGCTTACAGTTCATGAAAACCCCAAATCCACAATCTCAAAAAATTTGAATATTACATGCAATCAATAAAACAAGGATTGTACATAGAACAATATCAGACTTCTGAAAAGTAGAAGCATGCGTATGTACTCAGTACTTGGTTTGTGCCCCTTTTGCAGCATTTACTGCCTCAATGCGGCGTGGCATGGAAGCTATCAGCCTGTGGCACTGCTGAGGTGTTATGGAAGACCAGGATGCTTCAATAGCGGCCTTCAGCTCTTCTGCATGGTTCGGTCTCATGTCTCTCATCTTTCTCTTGGCAATGCCCCATAGATTCTCTATGGGGTTCAGGTCAGGCGAGTTTGCTGGTCAATCAAGCACAGTAATCCCACGGTCATTGAACCAAGTTTTGGTGCTTCTGGCAGTGTGGGCAGGTGTCAAGTCCTGCTGGAAAATGAAGTCAGCATCCCCATAAAGCTCGTCTGTGGAAGGAAGCATGAAGTGCTCCAAAATCTCCTGGTAGACGGCTGCGTTGACCCTGGACTTAATGAAGCACAGTGGACCAACACCAGCAGATGACATGGCTCCCCAAATCAACACAGACTGTGGAAACTTCACACTGGACTTCAAGCATCTTGCAGTGTGTGCCTCTCCATTCTTCCTCCATACTCTGGGTCCTTGGTTTCCAAATGAGATGCAAAAGTTGCTCTCATCAGAAAAGAGGACTTTGGACCATTGAGCAACAGACCAGGTCTGTTTTTCTTTAGCCCAGGTAAGACGCTTCTGACATTGTTTGTTGTTCAGGAGGGGCTTGACAAGAGGAATACGACATTTGAAGCCCATGTCCAGGATCCGTCTGTGTGTGGTGGCTCTTGATGCACTGACTCCAGCCTCAGTCCACTCCTTGTGAAAGTCCCCAACACTTTTGAATGGCCTTTTCCTGACAATCCTCTCCAGGCTGCGGTCATCCCTGCTGCTTGTGCACCTTTTGCTTCCACACTTTTCCCTTCCACATAACTTTCTATTAATGTGCTTTGATACAGCACTTTGGGAACATCCAACTTCTTTTGCAATTACCTTTTGAGGCTTTCCCTCCTTATGGAGGGTGTCAATGATGGTTTTCTGCACAACTGTCAGGTCAGCAGTCTTTCCCATGATTGCGATTCCTTCTGAACCAGACTGAGAGACCATTTAAAGGCTCAGGAACCCTTTGCAGGTGCTATGGCTTAATTAGCTGATTAGAGTGGGACACTTTGAGCCGAGAATATTGCACCTTTTCACAATATTCGAATTTTCTGAGATTGTGGATTTGGGGTTTTCATGAGCTGTAAGCCATAATCATCACAATTATGACAAATCACGGCTTGAACTATCTTGCTTTGCATGTAATGAATCTCATATATTAGTTTCACCTTTTAAGTTGCATTACTGAAATAAATGAACTTTTGCACGATATTCAAATTTTTCGAGTTTCACCTGTATGTGATACAGATGGTCAATTAAGGTTTAATATGAATTTATTTTGTTCAAGCATAACAGATGTCTCTGCAAAGCAGGAAGTTACTATTTACTGCCTCCCACACCACTGAACACCTCTATGATAAATGGGCAGCACAGTGGCTAAATGGTTAGCACTTCCGCCTGGCAGTACTAGGGTCGTTGGTTCGAATCCCAGCCACCGCATCTCCTGCCTGGAGTTTGCATGTTCTCCCTGTGCCTGTGTGGGTTTCCTCCGGGTACTCCAGTTTCCTCCCACACTCCAAAGACATGCTGGTAGGTGAATTGGATCCTGTCTAAATTGGCCCTAATATGTGTATGTATGAATGTGAGTTAGGGACCTTAGATTGTACGCCCCTTGAGGGTTAGGGACTGATGGGAATGTACAATATATATGTAAAGTGCTGCGTAAATTGACGGCGCTATATAAGTACCTGGAATAAATAAAATGATAAAGAAGAATCTTCCAAATCTTACACATCCAGGAATGTCAATTTCCTGTGTCCACTACTGCACCCAGTGGCACCTCCCACTAATCCTTGCTTATGTATAGGACATAGTGGTGATATCAGGGTTGATTTTTACAACAGAATCACTTGCAATATTTTGTCTGTGCTGCCCACAGCCACAAGCTGAATGCATACAATTACCAAAAAGGCCCTCAGTTAGCCATGTATAGCATACAAATTATTCACCTGCTATGTTGATGATGGCCTGAAGGCCGGAGGAACACTGTCGGTTCACACAAGATACAGGGACAGTCTCTGGGATTCCACTGCAATGAATATATGAGGCACAAGAAACTGATCAGTTATTGCAATCTTTGCATGCTAGTATGTAAACCAGGCAACAGTACACTTCTGTCGTGGAGGATAGTGCATAACCTAACCTATGACTATGGCCTTGTATCATTCAAAACTACAATTAATCTTCATGTTTGGAAAGCCAGATCTCTTATAAACCAGAAATGTAAGCCTTAGCAAGAGTCTGAAGGCATATTCAAACTGCTTCTGGAGGAGGAGGATGCTAGATGCACAAAAAGGAGGACCTTAAGGAGCCAGCAGCACCTAATGACTTAAAACCTAAGTTTAACATGAGCAAGCGCTAAAATGTATGTTAAACAATGAAATGTTTGTTCTATTTTTCCTTAAAGCACACAAACTGAAGCTAAAAGACATTAGGCAAATTGCCTTCTTTGTTGAGACTGTGTTGGGCAATGGTGCCAAATGCTACTGGTGCGAATGAGTCCTTACTGCTTGTTAACAGTATGTAAAAACTTTATTGTTCATAGTCTTTCATCTTACTTTGTCCTTGGGGCACTGTGCCCATAGCAAGAAGGAGTAGTTAAATCTTGGCTCTTGAACAGCAGCACATATGCAGTCTGAGAAGATCGCTGGCCGCAGGTACTAGTGCCCATCCCACTTCTTGTGTGGATCAGAAAAGGATAAGGATAAAGAGGGCAAAGACCCTAGCCTAAGCCTGTTTTACAGCTTTCAGGCTACAAAAAAAAAAAAAAAAAAAAAAAAAAAAAGAAGAAGAAGTGGGAGCACCTTGTCCTGAGGCCCGAAATAGGGGCTACAAAACAGAAATTGAATATTAGAAAAAAGGACCCGAAAAGAAGTCGGCCATTCCAGGCTGTCCAAATTTACTTTACTGCTCCTGTTTAGCATTGCCTGGCACTGTAACTGACTTGATAAAATGTCCACCACAGCATTAAAGGAAACGCATACATACTGGTTGTTGACTGCTATAGAATTGTATGAGGATTACTTGAGAAAACACAGAGGTATCTAAATATAAAATGTTTAGCATAACAGCTGCTAAACCCAAAGCAAGTATATAAAATGAGATTTTGTTGGGAAAAAAAAAAAAATTCCCCTTTAGGTGATCAGTGTACATTGCAAGCATTTTAACAAACTTTGTTGCACATTCCTACCTATTTATCCCCTGAAGGAATAGCTGTATTTTCTTCTAGGTCTTTTGTATACCTTTTCATTAACTATCAGCTGCTGCACTCATAGGGCTCTAATGAGGAAAGCTGCAGGGTCTGCATCCCTTTAGAAGTGATTAACCCTTTAGGAGCATCTGAACAAAAATGACATTGTTGCATTAGATGCCTATTATCTGACTTGTATCTTAGGACAGACTTCAGGGAAAATCAGTTTGCAATCACACAAGTAGAAATTCATATTCTTGGGGGCATTCCTTACATCAACTGTGTACGGAACGCCTCCAGGTTGCCATATTGCATTGAATTTTGAAATTTACAGCCCTACAGATTGAAGAGGAAAGGTAATTTTTAAAAACATTAAAAAACAATATTGCATGTGTAGCAATTGTATATTTTTTTCTAATTTGCTATAACATTTCTACTAAAGTGGGCACAACCATTGAACAGTTGTTCTGAATCGGTATAGATAGTATATCCACCTGCGCTGCTGCGTCTATACTAAATGATATGAACAGCTGCTAACATCCAATCCTCATCTTCAAATGGATATATACATAAAAATGCTAAAATATTGATGTAGCTCTATAATATTTTTCATATGATACACAATCAATTTCAAAGAGAATGCTTAGTAAAAATCAGATATGCATCGAAGTTAAGTAAGGTGGCTTTAAACGGTGAAAACATTGCACTGTGGCAAGCAAAAAACTCTTAAAAACAACTCAATCGTGACACACAGTGATTCCCTCTGTGGAATATAGGTCAACTCTTATCGGTGGTTCTGGTAACAGTATAAATAATATAGTCCACAGTATTCAGTGTAAATAGTTAAACACACATTAGAAGTGATGAGAACACATGCTTCTGTGCCAGTGCAGGTACCTTTCACCCAGAGAGACTGTGCAGGGTCCAGTGGTGACCCGCAAGGCTTTTTGCCCCTGTGGGTCGCAGGGGGAAGGTGAGAGGGCATGCTAGCCACATAAGGATTGTCACCTACCACCTGCAATGGCACAGAATCATGTCTTCTCATCACTTCTAATGTGTGTTTAATTATTTACACTGAATACTGTGGACTATATTATTTATACTGTTACCAGAACCACCGATAAGAGTTGACTTATATTCCACAGAGGGAATCACTGTGTGTCACGACTGAGTTGTTTTGAAGAGTTTTTTGCTTGACACAGAGTGCACCGTTTAAAGCCACCTTACTTGACTTGTATGCATATCTGATTATTACTAAGCATTCTCTTTGAAATTGATTGTGTATCATATGAACAATATTATAGCGCTACATCAATATTTTAGCATTGTTCTGAATCAGTCATTTTCTTATATACAATTTGTTTTTTCAGCCCCTGAATATTTGTAAAAAATATATAATGTGGCCCTTCTACTGAAAAGTTTGGAGACCCCTGTCCTAAAGGATAATCAATCTGTAGACCCAAAATACACAAAAAATGAGCACTAGACACAGGACAGCTTTGAATTTTCGACATGATTGAAACTTATTTATTGCATTCTTGCACAGCTATCAGACAGCTATAACAAAACATATCAAACAGGTATACAACACACACACTAAATACCTAAAAAACTGGGCAATTCTAGCAACCACAGGTCCTCCACCAGGCTGCAGTACATTTCCTAGAGAGAGAAGAAAAAAGATACAGTTGCAAGATTCACTGAAACAGAGGGAACATTGAACTTACCAGTTTTTCAGAATGTTTTGCAATAGGCTATTATAGTCTTCACAATACAAGTCCCCACATTAAGAAGAGAACAGCAGAGACAGACAGTATATAAAACATGGCTAACCATTTGTGTATTCATTGACAGCCCTACTGTGCATCAGTGGAAAGCTCTGTCAGGACAAGGTTGCCTCTAGTCTCCAGAGCAGTGACTGATTCCTGGTGTTTATGACTAGTTACAGCGTAGCCAACCAGCAGTCTTAATTTCTGAAGCTTTAGAAAGCAGCTCCTCAGCTTTTCAAAAGATAATGTGGAATTCATCCCTTTCAGCCACTCCCCAACAGTAGGTGCAGAGGGAGAGAGACATTTTCTAGCTATTGTGCCTGTGCTAGATCTATCCATGACTGCAGAGTCAATATAGCTCATTGTGGCAATTAGAGTGTGATGGTGACAAATTAATAACCATTTGTAGTTTGTCCTCCCACTGATCCTCCGAGATGTCACCTTGGTCAACATTCACAGCTGCCTTCACAACATGCTTAGTTAACCACTTCAATACCGGGCACTTTTACACCTTCCTGCCCAGGCCATTTTTCAGGTTTCAGCGCTCTCACACTTTGAATGACAATTGCGCGGTCATACAACATTGTACCCAAACTAAAATTTTATCATTTTCTTCACACAACTAGAGCTTTCTTCTGGTGGTATTTAATCACCGCTGGGGTTTTTATTTTTTGCTAAATTAACAAAAAAAGACCAAAAATTTAGAAAAAAAAAAAAGTTTTTCTTTGTTTCTGTTATAAAAGTTTGCAAATAAATAATTGTTCTTCATAAATTTAGGCCGAGATGTATTTTGCTACATGTCTTTGGTGAAAATAACCCAAATTAGGATGTATTTTTTAGTTTGTAGGAAAGTTATAGAGTTCACAAACTATGGTATAGATCTGAATATTGATCAATCCTGAAGTACTGACAGCCAATCTAATTTCTTGAGGTCCAAGAATGTCAGAACAGTACAGATATCCCCCAAATGACCCCTTTTTGCAAAGTAGACAGTCCAACGTACTTCATGAGAGGCATGGCGAGTTTTTTGAAGTTGTATTTTTTTTGTCATAATTTCTCAGAAAATTAAAAAAATTAGTTTCACTATTTTTTTTTTACATATTGTCACCAGTGCAGTACAGCGTCATCATATAACTGGCATGGCGGTGATCAGGGACACTGACTGGTGACAGTACAAAAAAAAAATATATATATATATATTTTTTTTTTTATTTATTAAATTTTTTTTCTTTTTTTCAAGAAGTAACATTGTACTACTTTTGGGAAGTGATCAGTATTTTTTTTTTTTTTTTTTTTTTTTTTTTTTTTTTGTTTTACACAATTTGCTTATAGCAAATAATTACTTTGCTATAAGCAAGCATTTACCTGAATGACATTGATTCATTCAGGGGTTTTTTTTTTTTTTTTGTGCTTAGCTGTGATTTGGCCACAGCAAATCACATGACATGTGCATGTGATTAGCTGTGACCATTTACAGCTAGACACTAGTATACAATGGGTGGCATGAATGAAGCTGTCCATTGTATACAACTGTCATGTGACCTGCTGTGATTGGTCACAGCAGGTCACATGGTACTGGCAACGGGGCCGATACTCAGATCTGTCATCGACCGTGTCCGGGGTACACGGCCGGTGACAGGCTGCGCCGCTCTGCAGGAGCGCAATCTGCGCATGTGCGGGAGGACGCCATATGGCGTCCACCCGGAACGCTGATGACATTTGCCGCCCGCCATTCGGCCATTAAGAAAATGATAATAAAAGATGCACGATGAGGCTTTTTTTGTGCTCTAACCAAAGTGTCAATTGAAGGGGAAAGAGGGCTAATCTTACGTTCTATGCTTGTAGAGAGTGTTGTAGCCGTAGGTTTTGGAAACAGGACTTATACCAAAGTTCAAATTCCTCTCCAACAAATTAGGTGGATTTTAGGATGCCATCTTTACATAGTGATGAAAGTGTCGATTTAGGCCTTTTCCATGCTGGGAATACCCCCCAGTTTATAAACCTCAAAAAAGGAGCTTTGTTATGCTATAAAGGGGATAAATCAGGAGAAATCCTTAAAAGTAGAAAGAAAAAAATGCAACCCTCCCTTTATTTTGGATAGCGTAAGAGTTATAGCTCCTGCCAGTTCTTTTTTTGGACATCTTTATCCCATTGTAGAGATTTCCCCTTTAATTCTTGTCCCATAGCCAAAACAGAAAGTTAGGAAATCCCTTTTTGTCACCAGGGTTACCAGAACTGGTGTATCCTTTGGAAGATTTCCCCTTTATTGCTTGTTGTGGTGCCAACTAAAAATTTGGGATTTTCTTTCACTTTTGTTTTTCATGGTAGACAAGACAAATAAGGAGGGTGAGTCTCCCTATTGGGGGCTAAAACAGCAATAAAAACTGATTGCTGTTCTAATCTCTCTCCACTCTATCGAAAACAAAAATAAAGTTTTATACTAAGGCAGCTAGCATAGGTCCATCCTTCTCTTCAGCAATTCGGTCTCACTCACCTCATCAGCATTGCCAATTGTTAAGAGAGGAGCAGGACAAGCGATGGACTGTCGTGCAGGTATAGCACTCAGGCATCTTAGCTTTGCCTGGCACTATGTGGCATCCTATCTTGTAGCCTACCATACAACAGTTCCCTGGTCTCCTTATACTTCTGCCATTAGAGCGGTACAGCAGGATATGTTCAGGATGTGCAGCAGGATCTTCTGTGACACATCTACTTGTGTTTGGTAGCAAATCACCCCCCCCCCCAAAAAAAAAAAAAAAAAACAAAATGCTTATATAAACTCTAATTTTGCAAATATTAATATTAATATACATAAAATTTGAATTCAAATGAAAAAACTTAAATGTGGTAATTACAATTTGGAATAAACAATTTACTAAAGGTTTAATACAGTACAAAAGGTACTTTGGTCAAGGTCTAGTTTGCTTTTCAAGGCTCCATTACTGGAAAATACAGAGCTGAACTACTAAAGTAGTTTATAATATAGTTTGGAGAAAATTAAACCCTGAATTTTAAATGCTACAGTATACTGTACTTAGCAGGTGAAATTTTCATTTACAGTGTTAAAGGATATTTCTGGAAAATAAAGAGTCAAAAGTCATAAACTAGTTTACAACAAAACAGGGATCAACACTTTGAACTGCTCAAAGGTTGACATTATCTCCATCTGTCAGAAGGCTGCCTTCAACTTTGTCCCACAAACAGTACAGTCAGCTGCACACAGAAAGCCATTCAAATCCTCATAGCTTTTGAAGGCTCCATTGCTGCATTTGCCCCATTGAGATTCTTCTCCTAGGGTCACAACAGATAGTGGGGTCAATTCAATCACACTTACTACATGCATTATTTGTGTTATAAAATATTGCATGCGATATTCAAAGTGTCAGTTCACTACAGCTACACACTGCAAATATGGTAATAACCTGCAGTGAATATCCAGCCACGTTTCATTTTCAATGCCCTTGCTGATGGAAGGAGGTTTGCACTCAAAATCTCACGATACATGGCCCCATGTCCTGCACATGGATCAGTCATCCTGTCCCTTTGCGGAGAAACAGCCCCAAAGCATGATGCTGCCACCCCCATGCTTCACAGTAGGTATGGTGTTCTTTGGATGCAACTCAGCATTCTCTCTCCTTCAAACACGACGAGTTGTGTTTCTACCAAACAGTTCTATTTTGGTTTCATCTGACCATATGACATTCTCCCAATTCTCTTCTGGATCATCCAAATGCTCTCTAGCAAACTTCAGACGGGCCCGGACATGTATTGGCTTAAACAGGGGGACACATCTGGCACTGCAGGATCTGAGTCCCTGGCGGCGTAGTGTGTTACTGATGGTAGCCTTTGTTACGTTGGTCCCAGCTCTCTGCAGGTCATTCACTAGGTCCCCCCGTGTGGTCCTGGGATTTTTGCTCACCGTTCTAGTGATCATTTTCACCCCACGGGGTGAGATCTTGCGTGGAGCCCCAGATCGAGGGAGATTATCAGTGGTCTTGTATGTCTTCCATTTTCTAATTATTGCTCCCACAGTTGATTTGTTCACACCAAGCTGCTTGCCTATTGCAGATTCAGTCTTCCCAGCCTGGTGCAGGTCTACAATTTTGTTTCTGGTGTCCTTCGACAGCTCTTTGGTCTTCACCATAGTGGAGTTTGGAGTGTGACTGTTTGAGGTTGTGGACAGGTGTCTTTTATACTGATAACAAGTTCAAACAGGTGCCATTGATACAGGTAATGCGTGCAGGACAGAGGAGCCTCTTAAAGAAGAAGGTACAGGTCTGTGAGAGCCAGAAATCTTGCTTGTTTGTAGGTGACCAAATACTTATTTTCCACCATAATTTGCAAATAAATGCTTTCCAAATCAGCCAATGTGATTGTCTGGATTTTTTTTCTCATTTTGTCTCTCATAGTTGAGGTCTACCTATGATGCCAATTACAGGCCTCTCTCATCTTTTTAAGTGGGAGAACTTGTACAATTGGTGGCTGACTAAATACTTTTTTGCCCCACTGTATATTTTAATGCAGAAGATATATTGCATGTTTCCCAAAACAGTTACATTCAAGGCATGCCAAAAATGGTAGCTCTCACAGATGGCTTTGCTCAAAGCCAAGCCATCAAATGGCTAGTGTCATAACAGACCAATTGTGCAGAGGCTAATATGGCAGCTTCCTTGGCTGCAAAGAATGGGTTTAGTTCCACTTTAATTATAATGTCCCTCTGTGAAGGCGAACATCTTTCTATAGAGGGTGGAATAAAAATACTGATTAAAGGTGGAATTGCACAGAAGGAGATATTTGGGAAATCACTGCAGCATCTATAAATGACTGATATACAGTACATAAGTTATATACCGTGGACAGATTAAAGCAATTAATTTTTTTTAAGGATACAAGAAAAGAAAGGATACAAAAATTGTACAGGGTGATGATTAGATAAAAAAGAAAAAAAATATATAAAAATTTGCACATTTTGAGATTTACATTTTTAAAATACAGTTGCACTGTTTTAGACTGTGGAAACAACTAACTGGTGATTTATATTTAGGCGGATTATTTTAATTATTTATATGGTTGTTAGACTGAAAATATTGCTGCACATATTAAGGTTTACACTGTCGTATTTATAAAGTGGAATTCCAGGCTTTTCCTACCTATGCCTAAACCTGCTCTCACCTTCCTAACCCCTATTCCAACTACCCTGTGAAAGGACGATGTACAGTATATACTTACCTATTTTGAGGGTGCACCAGGTTGACCACATTAGGTTTCCAGCAGCAACTTTAGGGGAGAGGAAGGACAGACAAAAATGGATGCCACATAGCAAGCTCATGGGCGACATCACTACCCAATCATTTCAACGTTGGCCATCTCTCCTCTTCCCTGAAGCCGACCACTGGGGAGATCACATGATTGTAGCACTCTGAGAATAGGCAAGTATACACTTCTTCCTCTCACGGGGTAGTTAGAATGCGAGTTAGAGGAGGGCGTGGGATCAAGCTTAGGAATAGTTGGAAAAGCCTGGACTTCCGTTCAATTTCCATTATAAACCCTGGCTCAAGCAAACTCACTTGTATGTTAAATTTTGCATGTTTCTAGATACCTCTACTAAAGCCAGGATCAATGTGTATTTTTTTCATGAGAATCTGTGCATTTTGTTTAGTGATGCTACGAGGGTTCCCTGATAAAGAGTTATACAAGGGGTGGGATTTAAACTTACCAACACAAATGTCTCCAACTAACTCAGGCTTTAGGTTGACGTCCTTCAAAACTGCAGTCATAACACTAGTCAGGAGTTCATCTGGTGTTGTATCCTAAAAAAAAAAAAAAAAAGGGAAGGCAAGAGCTTATTGAGGCTTTGATCACACCTACGCAGGTGTGATATTGAACGTGTTATTTTTCATGAATTTGTTGGATTTTGCAGATCTTGCTTAGATGCACGATAATTTCATTAAGATCAAAACCTCAAAAAACATCAAAAACACATGGTACCTGCACATTAGCAAAATGTATTGGGGAGCTATGAGAAATAAAGGCACTGCTGTCTTCCCATAAAAGGGACTCTTTTTTTTGTGCATTGTACTGATTTTGAGCTGGTTTCCACAATGCACAGATGTGAACCTAGCCTGAAGCAGACCTTCAATCAAAAATTGAAGTGCCGCTTATTCTCTTCCTTCCCCCGCCCCTAAGCTGCAGCATTTTTATATTAGGGAGTACCTTTTTTTTTTACATTTACCTACGCCCTCAATCCTTGTGAGGACCCCAGGTGAAGAAGACGTCTGTTTGGCTTGTCTCCACCTGCAGCCTCCTGGGACATATCACACGTCCCCGATTACGCAGGACCAGTCTCCGTGCATTGGCATGCCTTGCGCATGAGCCATGGGGAGCGGACTGAGCTTCTCAGCCTTTTGGCTAAGATCAAGTGTAGTATCTGTTCTTATCAGTGTCCAGTAGGGGTGCTCCACCATCATTCCTGCTTGCGGGGATGATTGGCTGTATAGTACTCCTGCTGGAAGGATGGGGGTCCTGATGGTTAGTACAGGCTGGAAAAGAAACCGAGGTGCCCACAGGCTGCTGGGGCCCGGGAGTAATTCCCCCTGGAAAACCGGAGGGGCCCAGTTCCTCCTGGTTTGAATGGATCTACCTTGTCTGACCAGGGGCCAGGGAGGCAGAAAGTCCGCAAACCAGTGCCCCCTCAGAGTGGTCGCCTCAGGGGTGCTCTTAGTAACACTTGGGTGTGGGATCCCACGTGTGAAACGTGCACATGGTCACTGTTTCAAATGCTTTTTTTGCACTGCGACTTTTAGGGCTAGGCCTTTTGGCTAAGTCCAGGGCAATTGTTTTGCTACAGGCCTCAGGGCCTAGCCAGTGCACAATTGCACGGCCACTTTTTTTTATTTTCGCTTATTTATTTAATTTATTTTACCTCCCACGTTTGTCACTTTTTCACTTATGTGTGTGTTTTTTTTTTTCTCATGGATGGTAGGGTGTTGGTTCTTGGGCCTACCCTGAAGTCTAGGGGGAGGATGTGTGGCCTTTTGGTTCCTTCCTCCCCTGTCCCTAGGGGGTTTTCTCTTCGGGAGAGCCCCCTTACCAAGTACTTGGTGGCTGGCTTCGGCTGGCCACAAGGAACGGCGTCCGCCAGGCCTTTTGGCTAGGAGGACCACACGGGAACCTTGTCCCTGTCAGGAGATGCACGCCCCGGGGAATCAGGGTAGAGATCCAACCCCTTCGGGGGGTGGACAAAGCACACCCCTAAGTGCACTTTTTGTGTTGGTTTTGCACTGGCACGTTTTTTGTACACTTTTTTTCGCACGTTCGCAGACTTAAAAAAAAAAAAAAAAAATGGGGAGCTGACTGTGAGAAATCAGAAAATCACAGCCTTCCAAATGCAAAGGTGGCACCACTAGGGATATGAAACCCATTGAAGAATCATCTGTGGGGAAGAAAGTGTTAGACTACATGGACTGATAAACACAGGTTTGTTAAATGTCAACAGGATTTGTAGCTGCTGACTTTTACATTTGAACAACTCCTGTGAAACTTCTCTTGAAGCTCAACACAACTTAGCACAACATACCTACAATAAGCCTATAAACCAAAAATCTATTTTTCAGTATGTCTGGCATCATGCTTCACTGCATACCAAGCAACATTTCTTTTTGTAAATCTGTTGCAGTTTCTTACCTGGAGATCCTGCCAGTAACAACACTTCCTGTTGCAAGACGACAACACTAAGCTCTCTCGCGATTAGCAAAAGCGTTGTCAGTCTGCTGTGTGTGCTTATTTTAAAAAAATAAACATGTCATACTTTCCTGCTCTGTGCAGTTTTTGCACAGATCGCTATGGGGCCACTGCTCTGTGTCTTGGTCCTGCCCCATTTATCTCCTCATTGGCTCACTGCCTGTGATTGACAACAGCGGGAGCTAGTGGCTCTCACTGCTCTCTTAGCCAATGAGGAGGGAGAGTCCCCG